ATAAAATCCTGGTTCAGACCTTACTTGTGTACCTATGGGCAAGGGATTTAACCACTCTGGGTCTGTTTCTTCAGGTAAAATAAGGGATGCAGATTTGATTTCTAAGGTCCTTTCTATCTCTGAATCCTATGAACAGAAGACATCTAAAGTGCCTTTTGACACTCATCCACTTGCATGGTTAACTATGGAAATAAGGGGAAATAATAGACAGTTTTGCATCATGAATGGTGAATCAGCAAAACATGAGTTCAAATCCTGTCTCTGACACATAATAGTTATACAATCCTAAGCAAGTCACCCTTTCTCTCAATGTTTTGGTCAATTCTTATGACTAAAAGTTTCAGAGCAAGTATTAAAATCTATATTGATGGTGTTTCCTCAGTGAGAGCCCTCTTTGCCACCAAAATCACAAGTTCTTTTTTTTTTTTAATCTAGCCTCGTAGGATATCTGTGTTAATTCCCTTGTACAATCAGGTTAACAAAAGTATGGAAAGCAGTTCTTCCAAGGTCAAGCATGGATCATTTGCAGAGGTCCAAGCCTGAAGTTTTCAGGTACTCCACTGAGACTTTCTCCTCCACAGGGTACAAAGTAAAGCTGGAAATACAGGTGTAATGGAATGTTGGAGCTGAAGTTATGTGCCAAGTTAGTAACTAAGCAGTCAGTTTTTGAAGGTATGAAGAAGGAACTTTCCCTATCTAGTTGTTGCGTGTGTACCCAGTGAACAGTGGAATGCCTGTTTCCTCTGTCCACCTCCCCCCACTTTCCAGTTTTTCTTTATGTGTGAAAGGCTATACTCTCTATCTTAGTTGGTGTCATAAACAGGGAGCACTTTAAAACACAGATTTCAAGTGAAAGCCGAGATTTCTTAATAATAATAATAAACTGTATTCTCCACTGTAAAGCCCTCCCTCAATACTTCATTGTGGCATGGAGGTGGCCATGAGGTCTCAAAGGGAAAGTAAGCTTTGACAGGCCATACCCCCTCTGGAAAGGCTTTGAGGGCTATGCTGGGGATAGACTGTAATCTAAGGAAATTGAGTTCAGAGGTGTTTATCCTCAATAGGTGGTGAATGTTATTTTTTTCCCACTCTGAATAGTACCACTAATTTATGCTGAATCTTGTTTGGACAGAGGTATTTACATGTTGTCTCCTCCATAAGACTAAATTTCTTGAGAGCAGAGACTGTCTTTGGTCTTTTTTTTTTTATTCCTGGTGCTTAGAATAGTGTCTGGCACGTAGTAGAAGCTTAATAAATTTTTATTAACGATAGCAATTTATGAAAATATTTTTATTTGTGGAATAAAACAAGCATTTCCATAATATAGTATAATTTTAAAAAAAAGGTAAGTGTATGTTAAATTGCAAATCTACCATATATAACTTGCCATTCCTTTTAAATATACAACAAAGTTATCATGTAAATTTCTTTCCCTTTTTTTCTTCCTCCTCCCCTCCTCCCAATGGCCACCATTAGACACAAATAGGTATATATGTATATACATATGTGTGTGTGTGTATGTATGTATGTAAAATTCTTCTATACATACTGTTATTTATCTGTTCTTTCTCTGGATGCAGATAGCATCTTTCTTCATATGTGAAAATCTTTACTAAAGTACAGAGGGGTTGCAATCAACATTGGTGGAAGGACTTCTCACAATGATGAAGTTTTACCTTTTTTGAAGCATTGAAATAACATATCTTATATTTGTGAGCCTCCCTAGTTTTTGAAGTATTTTTAGGTACTGAGATGTAGGGCACATGGATTATCAACCCCACTTAACAGGTTAGGATACTAAGGCACACTGCAAAGGTTTATTACCTTGCCTGAGATCACATAGAAAATAGAAAAGGAATATCTCAGAATATTACCCAAGGCTTAAGGTCCTTCACCATGCTGGGTGCCTTCCTCTGGATAATTAGTAGTTTATCAATATCCTATTTAAACTATGATGCTGGGAACTGAACATAATACTCCAAATAAAGTCTAATGAAAAGCAGAGTTCAGTGGGGATTATTACCTTCAATTCCTGGAAGCTATGCCACTATAGATTAGTAATTATGTACATTATAAAACTTACACTAAAAAGAGACATTTTGAAAGACTGTAATAAAGACAAAATGATATTTGATTCCAGAATTAATAAGAAGCCACTAGCGTTTACTGAGTAAGAGAATGATATGGTCAGACCTAGACTTTAAGAAAATCACTTTGGCTTTTGTATAGAGAATGGATTAGAGAGGGGGAGAAGCTTGAGGTCCAGAGACCGATCCAATGCTTTTCAATAGCCCAGGCCAGAAGTGATGAGGGCCGGAACCAGGCCATATGGAGAGAGAGAGAGAGAGAGAGAGAGAGAGAGAGAGAGAGAGAGAGAGAGAGAGAGAGATGTATGTGAGAAGTGTTGTGGAATTATGGATAACATTTGACAACCATTGGACATTTGGAATGAGGGGAGCGAAGAGTCAATGATAACCCTTAGGTTGAAAAACCTATGGGAGTGGAAGGATGGTGGTGCTTTCAGAAGAAAAAGGGAAGTTTGTGAAGGGAGTGAGTTATCTTGGAAAGGTAATATATTTGGAACCCAAATGTACATCTTCAACTTGTACTACTCACAAAAAAAAAGGGACTGTGTATATATAAGGCTGGGGAGAAGGGGGGAGTATAGCCCAGAAGCATAAATCTGGATGCTGTGGTGATGGAGGGACAGACAGTGGGATGCTGGAGGAGGGAGGTATGGATTTTGCTTACACAGCTGCTGTAGATGACTAGGTTGGGTTAGGTTATAGCTTTCAAGACGGCCTATTTCTAAGGTAGTCACTTGGGAGGTCAACGGGAGGGGCTGGAGTAGGGTAATGTTGAAAGAGGTAGGGGATGCGATGAGGAAGGTGGAATATGATTCATCATACGCCCCTTGAGCCAGTTCCACAGTTCGCTTGGGCTCATCCCAGAGCCCTGTTATAGATACCACTGCTCTAAAACAGTGTCTTTAAACAGAGTTCCATGAAGGTCCAGGGCTCCACAAAGCATCTTTAAGTCCTAGAAAGAATAAAGAAGATTATCCGGGTGTTTTCTCTTATCTAAATTTCCATTAGCTCTAGACTCCAACTCAACACTTGGAGTACAAAAGTAAGTGTGAAAAATAACCAAGAATTTCCATACCCTCATAAAGGTAGAAAACCTTTGTTTCAGCAGCCTCTGCTAACATGTGGGACCCAACCTGGTTCTGAATTGGATTTGCCTTTAAGTTATCAGTTTAATAACATTCTTCCTCAAAGCTGAAATAAAATGGCTAAGATCTCCATATAAAAGCAGTAACCTCATGCATAATGCCATTGAGGTTTTAGCTGTATAGATGCCCAATTGGAAAGAAGGTCCATCTTCATGACAAGCCATACTCACAATTACCCTCTCTTCCCCCAGGGGTTCATGAGTGTCAAAGGCATGAAGAGCTTCATTCTAGTCTACATAATGGGAAAATACTTCCCTATCTCTTTAATTGCCCCATAAACCCGCAGAAGATGGGTTAGAGAATACAAGGCATAGAGCAAAGCATCATTCATGAAGCTAGAAGAATGGAAATGCTAATATCACAAGGGCACAAGTAGGGCGTGGAGTTTCTTTGGGTGGTCTGGGAGAGCATTTCTAGAATCCCAAGGATTCAAAAGATCAAGAAGAAAATTTGGCTGACCTTTAAAGGGAAATTCCTAACAGTTAAACTATTATGCTGTAAATTATCTCCCAGAGGAAGTGGTGGAAGCCCCATCAGCTAAGTCATACAAATATGCTCAGGACAGGGCACTTCATAATGTACTTTGGGGAACAAGCTTGCATTATAAGGCAGATTACTTCATGATTTCCATTCTTTAGAGAAAAAAAACTTCTTGTGGTGACTTTACATCATGGGTGGTCAAAATATAGTCAATGGACAACATTGTAAAAATGAATCAAAATAAGATGATTTGTTATTATTTTTTCATTACTTTGCCTTCCCTCGCCTGTCTTTCATTTTAATTTTCTTTTTTTCTTTCTTTCTTCCTTCTTTTCCTTTCTCCCTCCCTTTCCTCCCTCCTTCCTTCCCTTCTTCCTTTCCTCCCTCTCCTTCCTTCTTTCCTTTCTTCCTTTCTTCCTTTCTTCCTTTCTTCCTTTCTTCCTTTCTTCCTTTCTTCCTTTCTTCCTTTCTTTCTTTCTTTCTTTCTTTCTTTCTTTCTTTCTTTCTTTCTTTCTTTCTTTCTTCCCTTCATTCCTTCCTTTCTTCTTTCACTCATTTATTCCTTCCTTCTACAGATCTGTGATTTCATTGGTATAGGGAGCTCTACACAAGGAAACTCCTTTAACCCATGCAGATTGACTTTTCTAGAATTTATAGTCATAATTGCTTTCAGCACTGTCACTTGCTTAGGGTCATTCAGCCAGTATGTATCAGAGGTTAGACTTTGACCCACATTTATCTGACGCTGAAGCCAATTCACTATCTACTCCAAACTACCTGCACCTAACAGTACTAACATTGCTGATTTTATTTTCATTTCTAGACCCTCCATAAATTTACACTCCTTCCCCCTCAGCACTCTCAGTCATCCATTTCCATTCCCTGGAGTTTTCTGTTACTAAGGGTTTTCCTTCATATCTATCAGTCTTAGAGGATGTGTTAATTAAAATACAAAAGACACTGACAGCTGGGAATCACATATCACTTATACCTCCTGGTGAAGATGTAGAAAAGAATCTGTCAGGTGCAAACAAATTGCAGAAAAAGTTTGCCCAGACCCTGAGTGGCATTCACAGTTTTTCTCATGTAGGTTTTGGCAAGTGCCCATTTTATATTGTTGACAGGAAATTAGCAATTAGATTACCCTCAGAATATTTTCTATGTTCCTGTTTCATGCAGGGATTTTTAATGTTTGTCATTTGCTGGCAACTTTTAAAATTGCTTTTGAAGCAATTTCCAGAAAGAAATTTAAAGAAGTCAAACAGCAGTGAGAAAAGATCTGCTCACACTGATTAAAACTGCCACACTGATGGGTAGAAGGAATAATTCAGTCAAAGCAAGGATGAAGAAGACTTCAGAAAGATTATCACCTTGTAGCCAGTCAGACCAGCTTATCATCAAATATTTGGTGAAAGGAAAAGCCTGAATGAAATGAATACAACCTTACAGGCAGGTAAGAAAGGCCCAGGATAGCTCATAGCTTATGGGAAAATATTCTGAAGATCTAGCTCCTCTTAATCCTAACACACTAACTAACCTCTTATGGCAACAGATTCTCAGCATACAAATGGAGTTCTGAAAGGATGTTAGTGTCCTTCCTAAATATCCATAACCTGCTAATTAGGAGCAGTGAGACTATGTGCACACACGCGCACGTGTGTGTGTGTGTGTGTGTGTGCGTGTGTGAGATCATCACAGAAAGTGACAATGAGACAAAAAAAAACTTTGGGGATACAACCAAGCCACTCCTTAGGGGAAATTCATGAATTGATGAATTTGAAAATGAATTTGAAAATAAAATGGAGCTATTGCCTCAACAAAAGAGATAATGCAATAAAGAGAAAAAAGAAAACTACAAAAGCAACAAATAAAAACAACCCCAAGTAAACTCAATAATAGAAATCCTAAAAATTAAGAGTATAACAAAAATGAAAACAAAACATTTATTGAATTGACTAATAAAACTATTTTCATTTCTAAAAAACTAATTAAATAAATCATTAGCTAATGTGATTTTTAAGAAGATAGGGGAAAACCAAATTGCTAATATAAAATTGCAAGATAAATTCATACAAAATAAAGAGTAAATAAAGAAAATTATTAGAAACTATTTTGCCTCATTATATGTCCACAAAATTGATCATTAAATTAAATTGGTGAATATTTTTTAGAATGTAAAACAACTAGATTAACAGGAAAAATATGGAATTTAAGTAATTTATAATCAGAGAAACAAAATGAGCTTGCCACAAATGAATTCCCAAAGAAAAAATCCCAGAACAGATGGATTTGCATGTGGTTTTTAGTAAACATTCAAATAACAATTAATTTTAATACTACATAGACTTTTAAAAATCCTATATGAACAACAAATGTCCCTCTATTATACAAATATGGTCTTCATACTTAAACCAAGAAGTGACAAATCAGAAGAAAACTATCCTTGCTGATTAGTGACATAAAAATATTGAATTAAATATTATGCACTATGTGGTGTGATTTATACCAAGAATGCAGAGTTAGTTCAATATTAGAAAGTAGACATAATATACCATGTAATATTTTGAGCTACTTAAGGACAGGGACTGTCTTTTGCCTTTTTTGTATCTCCAGCATTTAGCACAGTGCCTGGCACATAGTAGATACTTCATAAATTTTTATTTATTGACTGATTATTAACAACAAAACAATAAAATATCTCATTGTTAACAGATGCTGAAAAAATTATTTTAAAAAACACCACTAATTTTCATTTAAAAAAAACCTTAAAAAGCAGAGGAATAAAGGAGTATTTCCTTAATATGATAAATAAAAGTCACAAAAAATTAAGAGCTAGCATTATCTATAATGGAAACATTCCATAGGTTTTCCTAATGAGTTCAAGGATAAAATAAGGATGTAAATGATCACCACTAGCATTTGACATAATTCTAGAAATGCTAAACATAGCAATAAAACAAGAAAAAGAAACCAAAGGAATTAGCCTGGGCAAAGAGTGATAAAAAATATTGCTTTTTGTGGATGATATACTCAATCTACAGAACCCTTGAGATTCACTAAAAGTTAATTAAAATCATAACCATCAAGGTAGTAGGATGTAAAATAAATCACCTATCTTACTAAAAAAAATTCTGGCAAGAATAGATTGAAAGTGTCATTCAAAATGATTACCAAATGTATTAAATAGCTAGAAGATCATCTACTAAGTGAATACAATTATAAAACACTCTATATTCTCTCCAAATAAGAGATTGGACTGTGAAAATAAAACAAAAACTGACAATACTACCTAAATTAATTTACTTATTCAGTGCCATATCAATTCAGCTATCAGATTATTACTATACAAAACTAGATAAAATAATAACAAAATACATCTGGAAGAAAAGAGATCAAAAGTTTCAAGAGAAATAATGAAAGAAGAGTGGAATGGAATTGGGCCGAGCTATTTCAGATCTGAAACTATACTTCAGGAAGTAATTGTCAAAACTATTTATTGTTTGTTAAAAATAGAAAAGTTGATCACTGGAACAGATTAATAATATAAGATCCAGAAATAATCAGAGTAGCATAATGTTCAATAAACTTAAAGACTTCATCTACTGGAGTAAGAACAGCAAATAATAATAATAATAATAATAATAATAATAATAATAATAATAATAAAATGCTGGGAAGACTAGAAAGCAATATGGTAAAAAACAAATAGGTTTATACCAACATTTCACATCATATAGAACAATAAAAGCCAAATGGATACACGACCTAAATGTAAAAGATCTCAGCAAAAATTAGAGAGGCAGGGAAAGATAATTTTTTTGAAACTATAGGTAGAGGAGGAGTTCTTGATCAAAACAAAACAAAAATAAAGATGCAGTCTTTGCAATAGAGATATGGATATGTTCGATTACATAAAATTGAAGTATTTTTGTACAGATTAAATATATCTTAGAAGGTTAATACATATAACTGGTAAAAATTCTTGTTTCAAGTTTCTCTGTTAAAGGGTATGATATTCAAAATATATAGAAAAATATAAATAGTCAAAGAATGTAAACAAGTAGTTATCAAAAGAAAACAAAATAAACTATCACCAACCACATGTGAAAAAAAAAGTCTAAATCACTAATCATATCAGAAATGCAAATAAAAACAAATCTGTGGTTCTACCTCATATCCATCAGATTGCCAAAGATATCAAAAAGAGAAAGTGACAAATGAGAGGAGAGAGGATTGTGGGGAAAGAGTCACATTATTGTACTTTGGATGATGCTGTGAAATGGTCCAACCAATCTGAAAAGCAATATGAAACTATTCTCAAAAAGTTGCTAAATTGTGTATACATTTGATCCCAAATGCTGCTATATTTCATTGTATACTATAAGGTATATACCTGAAAAAGATAAAATAAAGAGGGAAATAACCCATCTGCCCAAATATATCCATAGTAGCACTTTTTGTTGTAGAAATGAAATAGAAACTAAGGGATATTTATCAACTGAGGAATATTATGGTGCTATAAGACATGATAAAGGAACAGATTCTGAGAATCTTTGAAGACATTTAACTGATACAGAATGGAGTAAGCAGAACCAAGAGAACAATTTATACAATGACTATAACATTTTTCTTTGTTTTTTTGGCTAGGCAATGTGGTTAAGTGACTTGCCCAGGATCACACGGCTAGTAAATGTCAATTGTCTGAGGCCAGATTTGAACTCAGGTCCTCCTAACTCCAGGGCCAATACTCTATCTACTGTGCCACCAAGCTGCCCCTATTGACCATAACATTTTAAGAAAAACAACTTTGAAAAATCTCTGATCAATGCAATGATCAACTACAACTCTGGAGTACTTGTGATGAATCTTACTTTCCACTTCTTGACAAAGAAGTGATGGACTCAGTATCCAGAATAAGACATATTTTTGGACTTGATTGATGTACGAATTTATTTTGCTTGACTATGCATATTTGTTACAAGGACTTCCTCCCTACCACAGGAGGGGGGATAGAATAAAACATGTACATGTTTAGACAACTCCAATGTGTAAATTTGTTTTGCTTGACTATGTTAACTTGTTACAAAGCAGAGTTTCTGTTTGGGGCACAGATGGGAAATAGTGATAATAATGTCATATATAGAAATATAATTTATAATATAATATAAATATGTTATAAATATATAATAAATATCTGTAAATATATAATATGAAAGATAAGAGGAAGAAATAAAAAATGATCAATGAAGAATGAAAGAAAATCACAGAAGTCAAGAGGAACTTCAGAGAGTGACATAAACAAAGTGAGACAGCTTTGAAACTAATGTGGTGAATTGAATATGCATCCTTTTACAAACATGCTATACACCATGAGATCAGACGTTTCTGATACACTCCTCTTTTTCTATTCTTTGTGTAATAAGGGAACTGGTCAATTAGGACCCACCAGGCCTTAGAGCACGCACAATGTGGTCTTCCTGGAGCAGAAACAGATATGCACGTAGTATATCCACACGAAGGCATGATGAGCTTGCTTCTGGAAGCACATGATGGAAGGACTCTCTTAGATTCAGCAGATGCTCATGCATCTTAACTCTTTCCTGTCAGCTTACTATGTGGTGATGAAAAGCTTTTTAATTAGCTACTGGGCTGGAACTGAGTTTACATAGAAATGACTCAAATGAACAGAATAAACCCCTCTTCCTTGGTGGCTTTCTAGTGAAGGGAAAAAGAAATGCTGCAAATTTCAGAGTGTGGGGAGAGAGAGCCAGTCCATTTAGCAAAAAGAACATGATGATTCAATATAGTAGCAGGGTTGAGGGAAAGTTTTTGTTTTTAGGATAAAGGAGATTTTAACATGTTTATAATAGAGGCAAAGGAACCAGCTAGGTAATGCCATAGTGCACAGAGTACTGGGCCTGGAGTCAGGGAGACATGAGTTCAAATTTGGCTTCAGACATTAGCTATGTGACCCTGGGCTAATCACTTAACCTCTACGTGTTTCAATTTTCTCATCTGTAAAATGGGGGTGATAAAAGCACCACCTGGTCCCAGAGTTGTTCGTTGTTGTTCAGTCATTTCAGTCATGCCTGACTCTTCATGACCCCATTGGGGGTTTTCTTGGCAGACATCTGGAGTGGTTTGCCATTTCCTTCTTAAGCTAATTTTACAGGTGAGGACACTGGGGCAAACAGGGTTAAATGACTTAATCAGGGTCATGCGGCTAGTAAGTGTCTAAGGCTGGATTTGAACTCAGGTCATTTTGACTCCAGGCCCAGCGTTTGCCACTCTAACCACTATGCCACCTAGCTGCCCCTCCCACAGTTATAGGGAGAATAAAATGAGTTAATATTTGTAAAGTAATTTGCAAACCTTAAAAGTGCTAAATAAATACTAGCTATTGCTATTACAGTCAATCCTCAACTTTCCCCCATTTAGCTTTCAGGACTTCATGTGGGCAACCATACACATTTGAGGCTATGTGACGTGGGGAAAAAAAGGAAGACATGATGTGAGCAAGTTTGTGGACTCAGCATCTTCTGCCAGTGGTGACTAAAATCCCAGTAGTCTCTCCCTTGGTTTTCAAAGGGTGGCTTATAGCAGTATAGTATACAGTACAATGTCCTCACACTGTCACTGACACAGTGGAAGGTTAAGATTAAGGTTAAAAAATGTTTTAGATTTAAGAATTTTATTTTTTTATACAGTATTTATGGTGCTGTAGATTTAATGTGTTATGAAGTGATTATTGTCTAAAATCAATGGGTTTTTTTTAATTGAGATGTTAGAACAAAAAGTCACTGAATTCTAGGGAATTACCATCTAGAAAAAATATTTTGAATTTTGTGTAATATGGGTTATTTCATGGTTACTATGTTAGGAAAAGTGCATATTATCAGAATTAATGTTTTGTTAAGAATTATATTCAGAAAAGTATATTTTCAGTGATCACTAGAGAAAATTTTTGGTGGTCACAGGAACCTAAGCCCCTATTTCCCATAGGTTCAATGTATCAACATTTATGTTTTTGACTTTCATGCAATTTTTAAGGAACGTTATCCCCACAAAAATTGAGGACTGACTGTGTTTAACCAGTGGAGAGAAGGTGATTATGTATACAGTAGGGAAAGAAGAGGACTGGTGAAAGAAAGAATCAGAGGGAGACAAAATCAAAAGCACATGTTAAAAAAGAAAAACTACCCTTAGGAATTAATAAGGACACTTCTTCCTCTGCAACAGACTAGAAAAAGGAAAAAAGTTTTGAAGAAAAGATAGTACTGGTGTCATAAGAGTTTTAAGGTAGAGAGAGGAAAGGTGAACAAGGTCAAACTAGATGGTCTTACTCTTATCAGTAAAATACAAAGTTAGGTTATCTGCTAAAACTGGGGGCAAGAGTCACAGGAGACTGAGGATTTGAGAACAGAAAATGGAACAACAAAAGTGGATAATAAAGAGTCTGCTGTGAGTAGTGGACCCAATTAATGTGAGAGAGCATGAGTCTGTTGTGAATTAGTCACCAGGGTTTCAGGAGTGGGGAACCTGCAGCCTCCAGGCCACATGTGGCCCTTTAGGTCCTCAAGTGCAGGCTCAGTTTGGATTCAGTCAAAGGGTTGCACTTGAGGATCTAGAAGCCAGAGGTTCCCCACCCCCAGTTTAGTTGTTCCTCTGCCTGAGAATGGAAATGGAAAGAGAAGACTGCAGAGCTGGCCCAGGGCAGAATGCACAGTGGATGGATAAGGAATCATATGATAATAGGTTTAGAGCTATAAGGGATTTTAGCAGCCATCTAGTTCAAGCTTCTCATTTTACAAATAAGGAAACTAAGGTTAAAAGATATTAAATGACTTTCCCATGGTCTTGCAATTAGTATTAGCCACAGGCAGAATATGAATTGATGCTTTCCTAACTCCAGATCTAGCAGTGTTACCACTATGCTAGGCTACTTCTGGCAGAGAGTAAAGACTGTGCTGAAACTGCTGGCTTTAGTAGTCGGGAGAGGAAATAGATGAAGTTGGGGTAGTTGACCTCTGGTTCCTGTTCAACTTGAAGATTCTGTGGTTTTGTTAAGAAGGCTGATGGACCATAAAAATGGAGTAGGAGTTGATAAACATGTTGGATGTGAGAGAGATTGAAAATGTTCACAATAACTCTGAGGGCTAGTGAGTGAAATGGAAAAATGGTGGTGTTGTTTACAAAAATAGGGAAAGCAACTATGAATGTGAAGGACAGACTCTGGATGCGGAGGACATTGGGATATGTTGTGGGTCTAGCTTAAAAATGAGTCTCATATACAGTTACTAATTGAAAAGAAGAGTAGGACAGGTAACAGATCTAAAGATGTTTGAGAAGGGAAATAACAAAGGGTCCCAGACTGAAGAGGCTAAATTTGTACCAGACATGGAGATCATATTTCCCCTTTTGGGGAAGAAGTTGAGAAAAGAAGTGGAAGCTAAACAATTCATTAAAATGCATAGCAGATGGATGGAGAAAAGAGCAAAGGGGACCCCTGGGTAGGCATTAGCATGGATTGCTACAGTAAGCAGAATTTATTATGTTGTGTAAGCGGATGAGAAGAACTACTATAAGCACTTGTTAGAAATTAATGAAAATTGTATAAGAATGTATAACTGCATCACATTCATATCCAATCAAAAGTATGTGACTATGTCTACATATATATGTGTGTGTGTGTGTGTGTGTGTGTGTGTGTGTGTCTATATGTGTGTGAATGTGGGTATTTGAAGACTTCTCCAAGGGCTAAAGCCACAGAAAACAAATCAGGGTGAGCTGGACTAATGCAGCATCATTATTTTCACACCTTTGAGTGACACAGAAGAATAGAAGGTGATCAGAAAGGACAGTTATTCACTTGTCACAAAAGCAACAAAGGAGAGGGAGAAGTGGAAGGTGAGAAGATTGTGGACTGAGAAGCAAATGTCTAATTTCTACATGTTGGAAGTATAGCAGTTCTATATATGATGACAAGACACAAGATGTGGCTGTGTTCAGGATTGGCTGATAAATAGAAATAAAGATAGTTGAAGGTGGAGACATTGAGAAATCATGAAATGAGAGTGTTGTATGGCATCAATATAGATATTGAGATTACTGATAATGAAACTGGAGAAGAGAGGAAAAATTTGAAATGATGTTATTAAAGAAGGTAGAAGAGTATTTTAGAGAACCATAGATAGTTGTGATGAGAATTGGGAGTTGGTGATATGTACAAATAGTATGGGTTTCAAAAGAGAGATTGTAGGGTAGTGACAGTAGAACAATAGTCTGGAAGTGGTGTTGTGGAATATGAAGTATGCCCAGTAGGATTAAAGGACACATCCCTTGGGAAAAAGAGTAGGCTTCAGAAAATAGAATTGAAGGTGAACTTCATTCGGGGGAAATAGTCTGGGGAAAGCCAGATTTTCAGCCAAGGGAAAGAGGAGACATGAGTTTGAGGATATATGGGAAGCTGGCTGATGAAATTAAAAAAATAGCATGGCTTTATTTAAGGAATTAGTTAAAGGGCATGCAGAATGAGAAAGGATGGGGCTGAATTGGATAGGAATGAGTGCCGGAGAGAAAATGGGCAATGGGGTTACATTCATCTATGGAAACACCTAACCAAAATGACCCACCTCCTAACAGTGCATTTCATATGTGCTTAACAAATGTTTGTTAAATTGAATAAGTATCTTTACATCAAAGGAAACAAGTTGCTGTTAGGCAGACACATATTGATGATAGAGTAATTAAGTAGGCAGTGTTGAGGCAGTGTTGAGTAGGCAGAATTTTTTGTATTATCGAAGTTTGGAGTTTTGACCCACCAATTGTGACCAGCTCATCCACACTATTCCAAAAAGAATGCAAATTTCCTGATGCAAATTTCCTCTTATGCACACATGAACTTCAACAATGAAAAACCCACAAAGTGTCTTATTGAAAGAGCAGAATGTGACCAATTATATTATCCTGTGTTGTAAGTAACTCTGTGCATGCCACTTACTATTCAGATTAATTTCTGACTTTAGGCAAGCCAGTTAATCTATTTGGATATCATTTTATTCATTGATAAGATGGAAAAAAGAGGCAGATCAAAGAAGGGATAGGTTTGCTGTTCAGGGATGAATGGAGTGATAAACAATGGACCAAATATGAAGCTGCTCAACTCTTCTCTTGCTCCCACCATAAAGCTTTTTTCTATTTTATTTTTTGATGTTCTAGATTTGAAAAATACCAACAAGCACAAAATTTCCATGTGAAAATATATCACAGAGGTTCTGGACTCAATTTATCAATTCCTACTTTGACTGGTAAGTCAGTTCCCCAGAGCAACATTGACTATATCCACTCAGTGAAAGGGGGTTTTATAGTGCTATTGCTCAGAAGTATCTATCTGGTCTTTTCTCCCTTATATCACCATTGTTTGTGATCCTAATATCCATGTGACCAGGTAGCATCTCCTCTACCTGTGTACTTGGTTCCTAGGAGTGTAGTCTCAAAGGCAAAGTGGTTATTGAACAGAATTATCAGAGTCTACATTAACCTCCATTTCCTCAGTCCCTACTCATTCCTTAATACAATCTGGCTTGCCCAACAACTCACCTTGACCTTTCTGCAGAATTTAGCACTGTTGACCACCTCCCTCTTGAAGCCCTGTCTTCCCTTGTCTTCAGCTCCCATGATGCCTAGCACAGTGATATGTGTGTGTGCACACACACATACAAATGTGTATACGTATGTATATAGATATAGATATAGTAGTTGATCAATAAATAAATTCATTAAATGAATGACTGAATGATTAACACCCCTAAGAAAAGGTGAAAATTCGAAGTATTATCAGCTACTGTTAGTTACTTTTATGTTTATACATTCTGCTTTGTCAAAGTCTACACACTGGGGCAGCTAGATGGTGCAGTGGGTAGAGCTCTGGCCTTGGAGTCAGATGAATCTGAGTTCAAATCCTGCCTCAGACACATAACATTTACTAGCTGTGTGATCTTGGGCAAGTCACTTAACCCCAATTGCCTCACCAAAAAGCAAAAAACAACAACAACAACAAAGTCTGCACACCCTTGACAGCTTATCTAAGGTTGCTGACCACATGGACATAGTGGAAAGAATACTACGAGGTCCAAGAACTGCTGTTCAGATCCTGCCTCTGACATTTTGCTACCTCTATGACTTCAAACAAGTCACCTAATCTCCCTGACTTTCAGTTTCCTCATCTATAAAACAAGGGAGCTAGAATGAACAGCCTCTGACCTCCCTTTCTTCTCTAAATCTATCATCCTGCTCACAAGGGACAGGTCTGTATATGTGTGTGACAGAGTCTTAGGATATTCAGCCAGGAATATTTTGATGTAGGGAAGGAAGGTATATTTTTGCCAATTCTTTCACTTCCTACAAAGAATTCAGCCACATGAAATCTTTGGCATCAGAATAAGTTGCTGACCACATTTCTTCTGGACTGTCCTTTCTATATACAAGATCATAGATTTAGAGCTGTAAGTGACCTTAGAGGTCTTCTGGTTCAACCCTCTTATTTTAAAGGTGAAGAAACTGAGGTCCAGAGATGAAGTGATTTACCCAAGATAACACCATTACTAAGTGGCAGAACCAGCATGTGAACCAAGGTCTTCTGAACCCAGGAGCCAGAGGTCATATGAAAAAGACTCCTTCTACTTCCTTGAATAGTTCCCCTAGCATTGCATATGAGTCATTAGCTAACACAAAGTAATGAGGCAGGAGTGCTAGAACAAAGCTTGGATTGTAGCCAATACTTGTGCACTCCTTGATCATCCCTTCACCTCACTAAATAATTGTAACTTCTTTTTGCATAGGCCCAAATTTCTGCAGCTTTAATTATCTGTCCTGTGAAACCTCTCTAAGCTTTCAAAGTTTTACGTCTTTGTAAGTGATGAAGACAAACGGTATAATTTTCTAGGATCCCACCTTTGCTGAATCTTTTGGTGGTTTAAGTCACTGGTTAGTGTGCACTGGCATAAAATTTAGACTCAATTTATACAATCATCATAGTAATTTTGATAGCTATGAATTAATGTGTGCACAGAATATTTCATTACATACTATTACATTTAGATTAAAGTGCTTTTTAATAGAATATGTAATTTAGAAATATTAAAGTGCATTTTAATTGGCCACAAATGAGATTTTAAAGTACTTAGAAGTGTCAGGAATATAAAATTTAAGTGATTAGATGAATTACACTATTATAAGTAATACTTTCATTTAAATAGCAGTAGATGTGTAGATAACGGACATTTATGAAGTGATGAGACTGATTTGCATAAACCACCCATGAAAGACAAACTCCTAACTGTATAGTCACCCTCACAGATATACATTGTTGTTCTTCACACTTGAAGATGCCTCTGCTTCTGGTGTTACTCCTCATATGTGTGGGAGTGACAGTGAATACTTTGCACCCTCAGCTACACAGAAGGATGGTCACACCCTTAGTCTAGACATCACCCAGAAGTGGTCCACTTCAATGATCAAGAACTCAGATATTCCTTTATTCAAGTATAACTGGCTATCTTTCCATCTGTCCCTATCCCTAGTTCTCCTAAACCTATTCTTTTTCTACACCATTACCTCCAATCCCTCTTTCCTTACCTCTCCCTACTTTCTCAAGCCATCACTGCTGATATGGCATCACTTTCCTCTCTTAGTATTCTTGATCCTTCAGTTAACTAGTTCTATATTATCCTCTTGATTCCCTTGTTCACTTGTCCTTTAAATGTTCATGACTTCTCAAACAACAACTTTGGATTACTCCCCCCCATCTATCTCTTCAATGCTACTCACATACTGCTAAACGGGGGAGTATGATAAAGTTATGCAACTGTGCTAACTGTATCCATTACAAATACATATACATACATACATATATATATTATATATATATAATATATTATATATATTATATTATATATTATATATATAATATACACACACATATATACATACATATGTGTATATATTATATATAATATATATACACATATATACATACATATGTGTATATATTATATATAATATATATACACACATATATACATATATATGCATGCACAATACACACACATATATACATATACACACAAATATACATATACATTCATATGCGAATATGTGTGTGTGTGTGTGTGTGTGTGTGTGTATTTTTTTTCCCTACTCTTAAGTGGGACCTCAGTGGACCAATGCCTATTGCATTGTCATTCCACAGTGTCTTTTCCAAAGCTTCTTTTCTTTCCTTAAACCTCTCATACCACCCCCTCTGCATATGCTCAGAGCTGAAAACCTCAACTCATACACTTTTTTAAAGAGGCTTTTAACCATGAGTTCTCTTCTTTGCTCCTTCTCTTAATCTCTCAAGCCGTTGTTATCATCTCCCATTATCTCATCCTTTAATATAGCCCTTGATGAGGAGCTTTCTCCTTGCCAAGACCAATCCATCTAAATGGACCCTTGATTCAATTCCCATCTCCTCTTCTTAAGCAGATTTACCCTACTGTCATTCTCTCATTATCTCTCTGTCTCTGTCTGTCTCTCTCTCCCTCTCCCCTTCCCTCCCTCTCTAACACAAATAGGAGAACCAAAATTAAGCATCTCTCTCTCTCTGTCTCTGTCTCTCTCTTTGTGTCTCTCTCTGTCTCTCTCTGTCTCTGTCTCTCTCTGTGCCTCTGTCTCTCTCTCTCTCTCCCTTGTCTCTCTCTCTCTGTTTCTCTCTCTCTCTCTTTCTCTCTCTCTTTCTCTCTGTCTCCCTGTCTCTCTCTCCTTCAATATCTGACCACCAGTTCCTTCCATGTTGTCTATAAACATGCCTGAGTCTTCTCCATCCTTACAAAATCTTTACCAGACTCTACCAATCCATGTAAGCTACCTTTCTATACCTCCTCAGGCAAACTTCTTGATAAAACTATCATTGCTCATTGCCTTTACTTCCTCTACTCTCTTCTAAATCCCCTAAACTGACATCACTCAACTTAAAGTGCTTTCTCCAAACTTCTCTCCCTTGATTGACAAATCTAATGGTCTTTTCTCAATCTTCATTCTTCTTGACCTCTCTGAAGCATTTGAAACTGTTGGAGTGTGTGTGTGTGTGTGTGTGTGTGTGTGTGTGAGAGAGAGAGAGAGAGAGAGAGAGAGAGAGAGAGAGAGAGAGAGAGATGAGAGAAATGCCCTATTTTGGTTCTTCTATTTGTGTTATGGATCCTTCTCAGTCTGCTTTGCTGGTTCAACTTCCATAGCATCCCCCCCTTAACTATAGGAATACCCTCAGGACTCTGTCCTGGACCCTATTCTCTTTATATTTCTCTCACATGGTAACTTCAGCAACTCATAGGGATTTATTTTTCTCAATGCTGATGATCCTGAAATCTATATTTTAAACTCTTGTCTCTTTCCTGAACTCCAGTTCCACACAACCAACTACCTATCACACATTTCAAACTGGATTTCCCATAAATATCTCAATCTCTATATTTTTTAAAACAATTCATTATCACCCTCCCAGACCCACCTGGGCAAAACTTACCCAGTTCTGTCAAAGGCACTACCATTCTTCAAGTATCCCAGATTTGTAATACTCTTCACCTTGCTGTTTTTGTCAAATAAGTTGCCAGATCTTGACATTTTTGCCTTTACAGTAATTGTTTACATCCCTTTCTCTCATAGAGACACCACCTTATTTTGGGATTTCATCACCTCTTCTGCATTATTGCAACATCCTCTTAATTGGTGTCTCTAATTCAAGTTTCTTACCTCTCCAATTTTTCCATTGCAAGATATTAAACTGATTTCCTTAAAGCATGAACTTGACCATATAACTACTCTCCTCAATAAATTTCAATGGCTCCCTATTTCTTTCAAGATTAAATGTCAACTCATATTTGTGGTGTATAAGGTCCCTGGCTCTATTGTTGTTCCTAATATATAGCATCCCATTTCTCCATTAGTTGTTCAGTCATTTCAGTTGTGTCCAACTCTTTGTGACCCTTTTGGGGATTTCCTTAGGAAAGAGAATGGAATGGTTTGCCATTTTCTTCTCCAGCTTATTTTACAGATGAGGAAACGGAGGCAAACAGGCTGAAATTACTTGCCCAGAGTTGCTTAGCTGGTAAGTACCTGAGGCCAGATTTAGACTCAGGAAGTTGGGTCTTCCTGACTCCAGGACCAGCACTCTATCTACTTACTGCACCACCTAGCTGCCCTCCATTCCTGAAATACAATCCCTTCTCACCTCAATCTTTCAAATGCCACTTTCTACATGAAAAGTACATCC